AAGGATTATTTTGTATGCAAATGCAAAAAAAAATTCAAGTTCTATGAACACCTTTAGCAATACGATACTCGTCACAGCAACAACTATTGTCCATTCAAGATGCATTGTGATTATTTTTGAATTCTTCAGAGCGTTGATAAGAGTTTACCTTTGGAGGAAAAATTTGTATGTATTAATTCTAAAGGATCATTGATGAAAATGAAAAGATGCTTATCTAGATATAAACCCAATTACGAAATTTGGTTATGGGTAAAAAGGTTCAACAGCACATGTTCTCAAGAGTACAAAAACGAAGCAAAACTTTTGAAAGAGTTTAAACAGTTTGTTAAAAGAAATAAGAAAGTTAAAAATAAAAAAATCATATTAGATATTAAAAACATAATCGATAAAAGGATTGATAAACTTCAATCTTATGTTTTTTAATCTCCAGAATATGTTCCTCAATCTCTCTCTACTCAGTCTAAGACCGAGTAGAATTCTTTTTACATAATTTTTATTGCCTATTATCAAAAATATCTCAAAACAATCTTATTATCATTGAGCTTTTCCAACTTTTTTTAAAATCTCTGTTTTTTATTTTTAATAAAACAAATATTTACAAAGAAACTCGTTTAATCGAAGACTCCTACTATTATTCTCAATTAAACGAAATTGGTTCGGTCAAAACTTTTAATTTTTACAATTTTCTTCTTAATTAAGAAAAGTGCTAGAATTGTGAAAAATATGGATATTCACATTCATGTTGCATAGCTTGTAAGCAAGAGTTTTCATTTTGTGATTGTGTATATATTTGTGGCGCAACATATCTAATTCAGAAAAACAAACAAGGAGAATTTTGCCAGTTTAAGAAATGTAAATATTATACAAATGATATGAACAAAATTTTACATCAATGTAAAGGTCATATCCAAGATAATCACATTACTCTTTTTATTGATGAGCAACAAACTAAAGAATTCTATCTCAATGAACCTATTTTACGAAAATATTGTTATAGATGCGATTTATATAATCATTTTTCATCAGATTGTTCTCAAACATATAAATATTATTTAGATTTTTAATTATTTTTTTTATTTAATATTATATTTTGTATCTACTTAGTTTTAAACCGAGTAGAATTTATTTTATTCAACAATAAAGATAAATATCGACAATCTACCAAATGAAATTCTAATTTTAATACTATACCATATCTTTCAAACAAAAATAACTCTATCTGATTTATCAATCACTATATCGATCAAATTAGTTTGTAAAAAATGGCACGATTGTTATCTTTCATTGTTCAAGATTCATAGAACCAAATATATTTTACTACGTGATATACATTTTGTCGAAGATTATAATCCTGTTGAAAAAACTAAATATTATTTTTATTACTCTGAAAAGATTTTTTTAAAATATAATGAAAAAAGATATGAAATCACCTCTTCTTATTTTAATTCATTATGTTTCTTTGATTTTTCATTTCTAACTTTCGAATATTATCAATATTCTAAAAGAGAATGCAAATGATGTTTAGAAAAAACAATTCTTCATACGTGGGGTATATGGTTTATAGACGAATTTTATGATTGCAAAGTATCAGGATGTGAAACAAAAAATCAAAAATATCATTGTCATGAGATTTGTAAGAAATGTTATAAAATTTATCATCTAAATTTAGATGTTGATTTTATTAAATCAATAGAAAATCAGAGTATATTTTTTTAATATTAGTTACTTACATATATCAAAATTTCTAATCAGTTATATACCGATTAGAGTTTTAATTATGTAATTTAACAATGGAGAGGTATCTTGAATTCTTAAAAAAAGAAAATAATTATGTAATTTAACAATGGAGAGGTATCTTGAATTCTTAAAAAAAGAAAATAATTATTTGGAATTATTGAAAAAGGAATTTACCAAAGAATATTTCCATTTACAAAATGATTATTACATTTTAGAAGAATCTGATTATTCTAAAGCTCAACAATTTTCTCAAAAATATCATATACTTTTTAAAAAGTTGAGATATGTATATTTTGTTAATATATCCAATGAATCTCAGCTTGAAGAATTATTCAAGGTTTCTGTGAAAACAAAAAATCATATTTACCCTGTTAAAATAACTAATCCACCAAATTTACTATTACCGATTATCATCAAAGATGAAGAAGAATAAATTATTAAATAAATAAAATTTTATCCACTTAGTTATTTAACCAAGTAGATTTTTATCTACGTAATTTGAAATGGAAATTCTCCATAGTCTTTTCCAAAACATAAACACAGGATCATTAATTAATATCGCAATCGATGGCTATATAGCAACTGGAAAAACAACAGTTGGAGAAAGAATTGCGAGTCAATATAGTTATCATGTTATTGATTCTGAGTTATTTTATCAATATATCAATCACAATTATAATGATCATTCGATTGAAGAAATCAGACAAGTTTTTGAAGAAGACTAATTATTAGACCAGATTGAATCTTTCAAAGATGACGATTTTCAACAAAATAATTTTGATATAGATGAAAAATTACGTGACTTGGTAAACGAAAAAATCAGATCGATTGTTAGAAATAAAGAGTTTGTTGTTGTCGATAGAGATATCACAACAAAATGTTTACTAGATGCTAAAGTAAAGATAATATTAACTGCTCATTTGATTACTCAAGTGAAACGTCGTTTTTACCAAGTCAATTCAAATAGTGAAGAAGATTTTTTAACTAACTCACTTTTTATGGAAATATTTTTGAACACGATACTGTATACGAGTCATTTTTTAAACAAGCATATGATGTTTTTTACGAGATTAATACTTCAAATTTAAATTTATCTCAGGTCATTGATAAAATCTTGGTACATGTATTCAAAAAAATTCTTGAAATCACTTACCAACGTTATCATAGATCGATTATTATTATTGTAGGTTTATTTTTTATAAATTATTTTGAATTATTTAAATTTTTATCTATATAATTCTAGTTAGTCTCTATAGACCAACTAGAAATTTATTCATGTAATTACAACCAAATACGATCTGGATTCCTACGAATTTTTAAAAAAATCGATTCTTACAATCCTGATTTATTTTTCGAAATCAAAATATCTCAATCTGATTTTAACCAAATCGATTCTCAAGAACTTAAATCCTATGATCCTGATTTGCTTTTTGACACAACTACCTCTCTTTCAAAATATGTATTCGAAAAAAGTTTAGAAAAAATATGTTCGAACGATAATACCGAACGATCGATTTTCCTTTCGAAACTTAAGAAATTTTATGAGATTTGATTTGAAGAGATGGTTAGGATTGAAGCTAATTCTAAGTTAGTGCATGATAGAAATGATTCTGATTTTAAAAAAGTCACTAATTTTAAAGAAAAGATTTTATGTGGTCCAATGTATGGAGTGAGACAAGAATGTGATTATATTATCGACACGTACTTTAAACATTTAACCGAACTTGAAAAAAGACATAAACAACTTGAATCGAATGATAAAGAAGAAAGCGAAGAAGAAGAAAAAAAAGTTATTAAGAAGAGGAAACGTGGAAAAGAATAATTCATATATTTAGTTATTTTATTTTTTTTTATTTCTATATATTGTTATTTTATTCAGTGTTTACCGAATAGATTTTTAAGTACGTAATGGCTCCAAATTATTACA